CTGATGGAAATTGGAAAATGTGCATTTTCCACATTTATTTTCATCCAAGGTAGGGAAGAGGCATTTTTTGAAAAGCTTCGAAAATAAAAACGGTGTATTTCCGTGAGAATATTTTTCCTTTTTTACATTCAGAAAAATGTTTACAATGCAAAGAAATGTCAATTTTTCACGTAATTGATTTCAACTATTCTAAAGTCTCACAAATTTTTCCGGAAAATTGAAACAGCTTATTTCCGCAGCAAAATTTTTGTGTTTCTATGTTCAGAAAAATGTTGAAAACGCAAACGAATAAAAATTTTCCACATAACTGATTTCAGCTATTCTAAAGTCCGGAAAATGGAAATGAAGCATTTCCGCAGGAAAATTTGTGTGTTTTCGTTTTTATGGAGACTTTTTGAAGGCATTTTTATATATTTTTTTCTAATAGCTGATTTCTGCTAAACGAAAGTTGACCCAAAATATAAAACCTAGAAATGAGTCTTCGAATATTGAGGGTAAGTCATCTGAGGTGCCTATCAATAGTGATACCCAAGTACTTGGTGGCCTCAACCTCCCCAATGATCTCCTCACCCAAGTTTATGCTGGTAAAATGTGGTCGATTTACAGAGGTAAGTGAAAAAGCCATATATTCTGTTTTGCCAATGTTTAGAGTTAGTTTGGATGTCTGTAGCCAGCAATTAACCCTTGTAAGCCCTTCTTCGGCTGATGTTTTAACATCATGCCATGAAGATCCTCTAAAGAGGATAACCGTGTCGTCAGCATATGATATGATAGTTCCATTGTTAATTTTTAGGTTCGTTAGAGAATTTATATAGCAAATAAACAGAAGAGGACCCAGGACAGTTCCCTGTGGAACTCCGATACGAATTTTAACTGGATCACTTAAGGTTTCACCGATCTTGACTGTTTGATTCCTATCATTCAAGTAACTCGAAAATATGCTGAGGGCGATCCCACGTACCCCATATGAGTTTAAGACATTTAGAAGTTTCGAGTGTGGGACTGTATCAAATGCCTTAGCCAGATCTAGGAAAACAGCCAAGCAGTTAACTCCGGTATCCAGACAATTAACAACATCTTTTGTCAGTTGAAGAATCGCGTCAGTTGTATTTTGACCTTCACAAAAACCAAATTGATTTTCGGATAGGATTTTATTTTTTCTGAGAAAGTTAAGTCTGGATTTAAGACATCTTTCGAAAACCTTTGAGAAATTATTAATTACGCTAATGGGGCGGTAGTTACTAACAAGATCCGGATCACCAGATTTAAAAATTGGAGTAACTATGGCCTCCTTGAAATAAGAAGGTACATAACCAGTATCGAATGATAAATTAATAATATTTTATTTTATTTATTTATCAACGAGCAATTATTGCCCAATTAAAAGACAAGTATAATAAACAAGTAAGAATCTTAACCTCACCTATCACCTAGAATATCAAAACATAAGAAAACAATAAACAGTAACATATTAAAAAATATATATCATTAAATTAACATAAAACATAATGTAAAAACTCGGGTAAAAACTACAAAATACTTAAAAAAAACTTAAAACTTTTATTTTTTTTCCTTAAATTATAACTATTCTTTGGGACATTAAAATATCACAGAGTACAGGACTTAAGCTGGGATTTAAAAACTTTTTGATTATAATGTTGTTTAGCAGTTCGATAAGGTATAGATGAAATTTTTTTATTATCTTGGAGTCGATTTTATCAGGGCCTGGGGCGCAACTGTTTTTGAGGGAACTGATGTGATCAATAAGTTCATTGTCATTTACAGGAGTAACGAACATAGATGATGAGGAATTGGATTGAAGTTTAAATGGATTTTTAGGTTCGTCGATTTTATTGAGCATCTTTATACCAATGCTACTAAAGTATTCATTACAATAATTAGAGAGGTCTTTTTTATTTGAAAACGGGTCCAGGTTGTCATTTTTTTTTTGTAAAACATTATTTGTATTTTTTTTGGTTAGTTGCCTCAGAAATTATTTTATAATTTTTTTTTATGTCTTTGGAATCATTGTTTATTTTATTTTTAAAATATGTGTGTTTAGTTTTTTTATTAGGCTATTGAGAGTATTCCTATAATTTTTGTATAAAGTCTCGTAATGTGCATTGTATTTCAATAGAAGTTTCTTTCTCATAGAGTCCCTAGTTTTTATTGAATTAATTATACCATTCGTTATCCATGGTTTCAACTTTTTATTTTCCCTATAAGTTACAGTTTTTTTTTTCCATAGAATTTTTTCTAATGTTTGACACTATTTCAGAAAATCTACATGCCGCCAATTCCGCGTTCATGGTTTCAGTTACATTTTTCCATTTCGTGTGTTTGAATAAATTTTCAAAAGTATGTATGTTAAGTTTTTCAACAGTCCTGGTTACCATTTTACTTTCAGATTTAATTCTATTATCCCTATCCTGTAAGGTAAGTACTATAATAGGGAAGTGGTCTGTTATATAAGCCTCCAGAATGAAGGATTTAATATTATATTTATTTTTGTTGTTGTTTTTAACAAATATATGATCGATGCATGAACCAAAATTTAAACATATACGATAAACAAATATTGGTAAAATGACCAAAAGCAATGTGTCTACTATTTGTGTTGTTAAACGGTGTTATTTAGCTTCACCTATTTGGTTTTTTTTTAACTTCACTACCAATTGAAGAGTTTCTGCCAACAAGCGATATAATAGAGGTATTGAGCTGATAAGAATTATCGATTGATCTGTGTCGTTGAGAAGAGGATCAAGAGGTTTTCAATTATTTCATTTCCTAATTATAAACACTAAAAAAATAGATAATGATGACTTAACACCAGTGAAGATCCTCTTCCCAACCTTTCATACATATCAATGAATAATATTTATTTATAGGGAGTGACTACTGCACTGTCCAGACAGTGCCGACTGAAAACTATCTGCACTGACCAAACAGTGGCGACTAAAAATCTATCAGCACTGTCTAGACAGTGCCGACTGAAATCTCTCTGTGCACTGTCCAGACAGTTCCGAGTGCCGACTAAAAACCATGTGCACTGTCCAGATAACTTCATTATCATATCATATGAAGTTATAGTTACATTCAAAATAGCTTGCAGTTCCTTGCTGGGATTCTGTATTAATAGATATTTTTGTATCAAGTGCGCAAAATGCTCGGCAAAATGAGTGTTTTTTAATGGTGCCTAAGAGTGTCAATTTTTACAGGTGAGGTCGAGGCCAAAAATTCATTTGAAGGTGCCCATAAACAAAAATGTCCCATACAAAATAAAAATTAGATTTTTCCCACGAGCGTGCGCAAAGTAGTACTTTTCCGCACTCATTTCCATGCTCAAGGATATACTTTTCCGCACTCCGTGAAAGGTACTACTTTGCGCATGCTCGTAGGAAAAATGTTGATTGTATTTCGTATGTGACTTTTGTGTCTTCGAATAAATTTTTGGCCTCGACCTGAGGCGTTTTCTCGCGTCTCAAATGTTTCAAAACATTTTTCAAAACTGGTTCAAGTAATGTTCATGGTGACATTACTTGAACCAGTTTTGAGAAAATGGTTTGAAAACGTGGATTGGATTGTATTTCGAAATGGTTTGAACCAATTTTGACGTGACGTCATGGGTTTATCACGAGAATGTACTGTTTCAAAACAGTTTGAACCAGTTTCAAAAAAGTGGACGCGAGAAAACGCCTCTGACCTGTGAAAATTGACATCTCAAAAACTCATTTTGTGCACTTAATATAAAAATAATTAATAATACACTGAATCCTAGCAAGGAATGCAAGCAATTTTGAATATACCTATAACTTTATATGATAGGATAATGAAATTATCTGGACAGTTACGATTTATGGGGCCCCTACCCCCTACCCCCTAACCCTACTATAAGTTTACAAAGTATACCTTCTATATAGGCACCATTCTCCTTCAGACAGACTAACCTATGAAACTAGGCTGATGCTTTGCGGACTAAAAAGTCTTGAACACCGAAGAATAGAAGCTATGTTTATTTTGATTTACAAGTTGTGCAATGAGATAATCGACTGTGACACCTTGCTAGGCTTACTACATTCAAAAGTTCCCTTAAGGACGCACTAGGCAACATAAACTGTTTTATGAAGGACAACATGGTACCAACTATGGCCAAACTGCTTTCATCAACAGATTGGTGGTTAACGACAACCGTTTCTACTGCAACTGTGATATTTTTAACTACTAACTACTCCCTGCCAGTCAAATCAGGAAGATGATAATGTTTATGTAATTTTAACTGTGACTCCTATTCATTTCTCGTTTTATATAACTTTGTGTATCCGTTTTAATCAGAATTTTTATGCGGCTTGACTTTAACTGAGATTGCTTCTGTATGTTATCTGCATATCTATGTTTTTATTTTTGTGCAGTATTTTATTTTGTTTTTTAATTTTGATTATTTTGAGGAACTACCATTTAAAATGTAATATTCTGTAGTCTATGCTTGAGATAAATAAATAAGTATAAAATATGAACATATAGGAAACAACTAAAAATTATAAAACCATTTTTTTTTTCTAATTTTAATATCGGCAAATTCCCTTATCGCATCATTGTTATTCAGTTCTAATTTCTATTTTTTTTTTTTTTTTTTTAATTTTAATCATTTTAACATATTTTTTTTCATAAATCTGAAATGTTGGGAGGGCCCCTGCGGGGCCCCAGGCTGCCTGGGGCCCTACACTGCAGCGTAGTTAGCGTATGGGTAAATCCGCCACTGAGTGCAGATTATTTTTAGTCGGCACTGTCTGGACAGTGCAGACAGATTTTAGTCGGCACTGTCTAGACAGTGCTGTTAGATTTTAGGCGGCACTGTCTGGTCAGTGCAGATAGTTTTCAGTCACCACTATCTGGACAGTGCAGTAGTCACTGCCTTATTTATATCAGCTTAATATCCCTCTCACTGACTTTATATAACCAATAAATTTTAAAAAAATATTGAATAATTGTTGAATTCTCACCAGTTTTCCTGTGGGAAATAAATCCCATACTATTCTGGAATACTCTACGGCACTTTCAATGCTCGATGTCCATAGAGTCTTCGAAATAGGTGGCATAAAGCCGGTTCTCCCCTTCAAGAATTCAAATTCGATTGGATTCTCACAGGATATTCCAAAGTATGGGGTGTGATCCAAAACAAAAAGGGTCTTGTGGTTGGCCGGAAACATTTCGCTGCTCTTCGAGGAGAAGACCACGGGTTATTGAAAAGGTCCGTCGATTTCCAGCCGAGGTTCTAGAGTTTTTGCAAAATCTTGAAATTAAATTATATGTTTATAAAATACAAATAACAAAAACAAAGCCGTTAAGTCAACTGTCAAAAACGACAACGTCAACGTCGTCAAATAACAGCCGCTTTCCAGGGGCGAGTTCAGAAATAACACACCGGGTGTGACTGGTGTGAGTGTGATTTTATGGGTGTGACTAAAATGACAATTCAAGCCGCTTTCCCTGTGTGCTTCAAACACGGTGCAGCATGTGTTCTGTGTTTGAAACGCAAAAGTTAGCAGCTCTCGAAGCGCAGTACGGCTGGAACACGAACACGCGCTTGAAGCATTTGCGCGCGCAAAAGCTCGATTGCGTGCTTAAAAGCGTCAGCTGGAAAGCGGCTTTAGGCGACAACTTTCGTATGAATTTCTGAACGCTTGGTGTGACCAATCGAGTATCTCCTCAAAAATTTCACCAAATCTATTAGGATTACTTTTTTTTGTTGTTCATTTTTTTAATTTGAAGGAAAAACTTTAATGCTTATTTGTGTTTTGTTTATATTTGGTCGGATTATTGAGATTATGGGAGGAATGGTTGACATTGTTGACATAAAGACACAATCACACCGTAGCCACACCAAAAAATTATGGTGTGACCGGAGCGACACCTGGAGCGCGCCCAAAGTACTTTCTGAACGGCACAGAGTGCGCGCACTCGGTGTGCCTATAGCATTTATGAACGGCTAGTACGTCGCACCGGTGTCACACTCACACTGAGTGTGTCATTCCTGAACCCGCCCCAGCTGACCATTTTGAGCACGCAATCGAGCTTTTCCGCGCGCAAATGCTTCAAGCGCATGTTCGTGTTCCAGCCGTACTGCGCTTCGAGAGCTGCTAACTTTTGTGTTTCAAACACAGAACACTGTGCTGCACCGTGCTTGAAGGACACAGCTAGAAAGCGGCTATTTAGAGGTGTTTTCTCGCGTCTCGTTTTATGCCTCATACGTTTCAAAACTGAAAACAGTCTCACATGACGTCATCACTTCTCGGCGCTAGAAAATGGTTTCAAAACGTGAATTGGATTGGATTTCGAAACAGCTTGAACCAATTTTGATGTGACGTCCTGGATTCATCGGGAGAATATACTGTTCCAAACCTGTTTTCAACCAGTTTGAAAAAAGTGAACGCGAGAAAGCAGCTATGCCAGACCTAACTAACTACCAAGGATAATACACACTACTACTACAGGATAGCCTATCCTCATAAGGCCTGTGTAGAACAAATCTGGAGCCCCCACCATGCCAAATCACCTGCATGTCGTTTCTCGCCTTGACGACGTAGGCTGTTTGCACCACAGGCCACAGGTTATGATTCCGCGGGTTTTTGCTTGATGCATACTTGTTTTTACTACAAAAATTAACATTGAAACAACTATTTTTTACATCTTGTTAGCATCTCCATATTTGCCTATTATGTTAATCAAAATAAAATAATATTTTTCATCATAAATTTAAAATCTAAACTACAACTGCTGGCGCAAACAGCTAACGACTTAGTTAATGACATTGGCACTGGTGATATACCCATATGGCAGTGATTACCAAAAACGAGGCCGATAAGCAGTCCTTAGTATTGTGTATTATCCTTGCATTCCTTGCTAACTACTACAGCCGCTTTCCAGCTGACCATTTTGAGCACGCATTCGAGCTTTTGCGCGCGCAAATGCTTCAAGCGCGTGTTCGTGTTCCAGCCGTAATGCACTTCGACAACCGCTTACTTTTGCGTTTCAAACACAGAACACTGTGCTGCACTGTGCTTGAAGCACAAACACAATAGCTTTGTTTTGGTTTCTCTCAGAACTAGTTCTGAATTATTCTGCATATGCGCAAATTATAAAACGCGTTTTGGTTTTTTCAGAATCGTAATCGAACTGTGTTGACAGTGTTTTGGTTTATCTAGAACTTGTTCAGAACAATTCTGGGATTGTTCTAGAACGGTTCGGTCAGCTCTTGCTCCGAAGGAGAAACTGTTTTAGAATTTTGTGTTTTGGTTTTTTTGGTTCCGAATCGGTTCAGAACTAGTATTAGAACAGTCCTCTATTATTTTTTGTGCGCAAGCAGTTCTGCGCAATCCCAGAATCGTTCCAAATTTCGAACCAAAACAAAGCTATGTCAGCTGGAAAAGCGGCTATTGTGTTTGTGCTCCAAGCACGGTGCAGCACAGTGTTCTGTGATTGAAACGCAAAAGTTAGCAGCTCTCGAAGCGCAGTACGGATGGAAAACCGAAATGCGCTTGAAGCATTTGCGCGCGCAGAAGCTCGATTGCGTGCTCAAAATGGCCAGCTGGAAAGCGGCTGTGTCGGAATTGTCAATTGGCTGTTTTTATTCTCATTTCTCATCAGTAGAAAATCGATGGATTTCATCGGCGTGTTTTTATTCCCATCTCCCATTTACCGGTGGAAGTGACATTAGCAATCGAATTCATCCAGGTTCATTTACGATGAACTGATAAGGGCGAGATACAATCAAGAGATACAATAGGCTTTTTTTCGCGACATAACTTTTTCAAAGGTTATGTTCGATTATGTTGAGTAATTTGAGGATTACCCACGACATTAGCATTACCCAAAATAATCGAACATAAGGAAAAATTATGCAGCGAAACATTTGGTACGTTCACCAGCACTCAACCGTTGCCAACAGTTGAGTAGTTGGAAAACAATCGCGTTCAGCGGCTCTCAGCAAAAGCCGCTTTTTGTCAACTGCTGCTGATTTCTCTAAGCGGTAAAAATTTACGCTCACCAACTCAACTCATGCTTTAGACATGCGCAGAAGTGTCGGGAGTTCAAGAAATTCACATCCGCTGTATCTAAACTAGCCACTGTATCTAAACTGTCTTCAATTGCTTTACGCTGCAAGCTAGCTGCTGAGTATTGGTGAACGTACCCATTGCCTAACACAAACGCTGAATGTCAGGAGTATCAATTCAAGTGTCAAAATCCATCCAAGTTTTTTTAGTTGATTCATTCCATCAACAAATATGCGATGAATTTTGATGACGTAGTGCTCACTGGAGGTCATCAGTAATGGAATTTATCAAGAAAAATCGATGAGAATTAAAAAAAAACGTTTTCTCGAAGGGTTGTTGCAGAAGCCGGAGCCGTTGTTTCGCGTCCGTAGCCCCGTCCAAATTAGTGTTCCGATCGTCGTTCGGTTCGTTGTTTTGTTTGTTGTTCGACGTAAGGTTTCGTATAGACTTGAACATTACGCCGAACAACGAACAGAATAACGAACCGAACGAGTCGAACGACAATTAAAACACTATTTTTGACGGGGCTACGAACAGCCAGAGGTGTTTTCTCGCGTCTCAAATGTTTTAAAACGTTTTTCAAAGCTGGTTTAAAACAATGTCACATGACGTCAAAACTTCTCGGCTCGACAGAATAGGCGTATTTTAGCGACAGGTAAACATCATACTACACATACTACGATTCATGACGTCATAGTTACCCAAATAACAGGTGGAGTGTATTTGACAAAGGGTCTAAGAGAGGACGCCATGATCGTTGTTTATTTGGATTTGTTGAATTTTGAATTTTGTAAAATTTAGCGTTTTCGAGTTTCAATATTTTCTCCAGTGAAGATTTTCGATAGATTGTGGTATTTTTGAATTTTATGGGTACCCAATGCCAAAAAAAAAATAAAATTACACTTTTGTGCACAAGTAAAGATTTTTAATTTTTTTTGCAAAAAAACTCTAAAATAAAATCACAGAAAACCATGGCAAAATGAGGAAAAACAATCCTCTATTTATAATGGAAAGAACTGTGTTGGTAATCGTAGCGTAATCAGCTGATGTTTTGCCCATATGCTCATTTTTCATTTTTGTGTATTAGAAAAAGATGCAGTGACATACTACAACCAGTAACTATCCCTCCTAGGATGTTTACATGTTTACAGCCGAGTTTTATGTTGTGTTTTATGTTGTGACGTCATAGTATGTTAGCCATGCTCGCTAAAATGTAGTATCCCAAGTAAATACAACATACTACTGGGTTAAAACTCTCGCTAAAATACGCCTAATGATTTTAAAACATGGATTGTATTTCGAAACGGTTGAACCGGTTTCAAAGAAATGAACGAAGAGGAAACAGCTCAGGATTTGCGAACCGGTTTGCAAGCGCGTTCGTAGCCCTGTCCAAATTAGTAGGTTCGTTCCAACCCCCCGTTTTCGTATCGTCATGAAACGGTTTCGGAACTGTTAGGATCGATTGCAGGCGCATGCGTTGACCTTGCACGGTTTTATCTCGGTACAGAAACAACGGGTAGTTGGAACGGTTTCATGATCGTTTTCGTAATGACGACAGTTCAAATAACTTTAACCCTAAATTTGTTGGTTTGCAAATTAAAATAGAAGAATATAGGATTAGGATTACAAAATAATATATAAAAAAGGAAAATCGAACACCAACGCTGATTCATTATCAAGAATCTAAAACTGAATCCTTGCAAGCTGATAACATCAAGGATTAGCAAATAGCTGATAATAAATTTTGTACTTTTTTTCACTTGAAAAAATAAAAATGCTACAGTTTTATAAGTTAGATTGGAAATTGGTTGTTTAACAACAACATGAACAACAAAAACAGGTGACAAAAATTGAATTACGCATGTCAGTCATGAATCAGTCCACGCGGTTCTTGCTTTCCACTCGGGATCGAAATGACGGTGCTAAAACCAGTTCTCGAACGATCCCAGGTTTGGTTGGAACGCCAACGAAACTGTACGGTAAACGATCATCTCTCGGTTGGAACGCGTTTAACCTATGGCGCATGACTGTGACCGTACATTGTACGGTTTTTGGCTGGGTTGGAACGAACCTAGTGTTTCGATCGTCGTTCGGGTCGTTGTTCTGTTTGTTGTTCCGCGTAATGTTCAAGTCTGTAGTCTACTGTACGAAGCTTTAAACCGCAACACACAAATGCCGTCCTATTTTTGATTGGTTCTTTAAAATCCTATGTAATTCATATCGAAAACGGCGCCATAATAGAGAGTTCTCGTGCTTTCCAAATTTCAAATACCGTAACGTTATTTGACAAGTATGACAGTTCTTACGGTACAAGCGTTAGCGGACCCCGCAGCCCGTTAAGGGCCCGATACACTACGGTGAAACACGACGGTTTTCACCGCCACGATGAAACACGTCGTTCTAAAACCGAAGTGTGTAATAGAAAAACACGACGGTTTTCATCGCCACGATGAAACACGTCGTTCCAAAACCGAAGTGTGTGGTAGAAAACCGTCGTGTTTCATCGTCGGTTTAAAATTCAGTCCGAGCTTGATTTTTGTCATGACGCCGACGGTTCAACATTTCGTACACACGAACGGTTTTCTACCACACACTTCGGTTTTGGAACGACGTGTTTCATCGTGGCGGTGAAAACCGTCGTGTTTCATTGTAGTGTATGGGGCCCTGTAGAAAACCGTCGTGTTTTTCTATTACACACTTCGGTTTTAGAACGATGTGTTTCATCGTGGCGGTGAAAACCGTCGTGTTTCATCGTAGTGTATGGGGCCCTTTACCTAACGGGAGAACGGGAGTTAGCGGATGCCTTACCGTAACGCTATGCTGTCAAAATTAGTTTACGGTCCATTTACGTCTGCAAGCCAGTGATGTGCCTGTAGACAATGTCAACGTAAACAATTGATTGTCTACGCGTAGTCAATTCGAATTGTTTACGTGAGCATTTGTCTATACATTGTCTACATGCGGCCAGTGATGTGCCTGTAGACAATGTCAACGTAAATAATTGATTGTCTACGCGTAGACAATTCGAATTTTTTACGTGAGCATTTGTCTACACATTGTCTACATGCGGCGTAAACAATAACTTATTTTAAAAAATTCGAAAAAAAATATCAAAAGTTACTATACTATCACTATCACTTCGACATCAGCATTCACTGATTATAAAATATCAGGAAAACCAATAATAAAATTTAAAAAAATTAAAAAAAGGAAAGTGTGAGGTTAGAATTAAACGTCATTTATATTATTTTACATTGTTGACACGTTGTCTACATTGTCTAAATTGTCTACACGTAAAGTAGACAATGGAAGTCTACGTGTAGACGCACATCCCTGCATGCGGCGTAAATAATAAACTTATTTTAAAAAAATCGAAAAAAAAGATCAAAAATTACTATATTATCACTATCACTTCGATATCAGCATTCACTGATTATAAAATATTAGGAAAACCAATAATAAAGTAAAAGAATAATTTTAAAAAAAGGAAATTGTGAGGTTAGAATTAAACGTCATTTATATTATCCGCTTTCCAGCTGACGCTTTTGAGCACGCAACCAAGCTTTTGCGCGCGCAAATGTTTCAAGCGCGTGTTCGTGTTCCAACCGTACTGCGCTTCGAGAGCTGCTAACTTTTGCGTTTCAAACACAGAACACTGTGCTGCACCGTGCTTGAAGCACACAGCTGGAAAGCGGCTATTGTTGACACTTTGTCTACATGTCTAAGATTACTGTTTTACGTGTTAGTCTACACGTAAAGTAGACAAATGTTGGACCAAACACACGTTAACGTAATCTTTAAACGTAAACCTTATTTTTTACCATAGCGTCGAGTGACCGTCGGTGCTCACAATTCAGTTTAAGTTAAATTTTCACGTAAACGTTAACGTTATATCTCACAATCATGATCTAACCTCTAAATTTTGTTGTGAAAAGGACAAATTAGAAATTATTTTTTGTATTTTGATTATTTTGAATTACATGACACTTTTTTTTAAAGAATAAAATGCATTCGGCAAAGGTCGACACCGGCAATCTGGCTTTTGGGCTCACTCAGTTTAAAGAACATTTACAGATAAGGTACAAAAAAGTTGAGTTAGATCACTCAATTCAGCTGTCAAAATGTAAACAGAATAATCTACGTATCGTTTACATCCACTTTTTCCATGTAGACTATGTAAACTATGTAGACAATGTAGACTGTAGGGTAGACAACGGAAAATTTGAAATTTGAGTTTTTTCTTTTGCAATAGCTCAAAGCCTCCATTATTTTTCAGTCGATTTATCTTCATTCAGTTTATACCTATATTAGCTCAATCTATCTATATCCATTTAAAATTTGATTAACATCATCTTGTTAATTTTGTATTTTCCAAATAAATTTGTTTTAAATGATATTTGTGATTATTTATGACGATAATTATAACAAATTGTAATGATGAAAGCTGTGGCCACTGTAAGAATACCGTGGTGGCCACTGTACCAATCCAGGTTCGTACAGTGGCCACTTAAAAAAAAAATCAAAAAAGTATTAATGCAAAAAAAAAAAACGGGAAGTTTTTTCACTAATTGAACTATTAATTATTTTATTTTAGGACGTAATCAAATATGTAGACTGAAAATAAATCTAATTTTCCTTACCTTAAAAAAAGGGTGACCACTGTTTTGGGCGCTCTCCCCTACCTAATAGCTGTAAAAAAATTAGCCAAAGCTAATAATGTCCAGTTCCTACTTGTGGTGTTTTTATTATGTATACAAATTTTTGGTTTAGATTTTTCTGTGAATAGGTAAAGTCCGTCTGTTTGTTTATTAAAGATGAAACCCCAAGTCAAAAATTTAATAACTATGTTGGCAAGACAAGCCTTTTTTACGTAAAAGGCATTGACAATTTTACATTGTATTTGCCAACATAATGTCATTTTGACTAAAAACAGGGAATTTATAAAATTTAGGTATGTAGGTATACCTAAATATTTTCTTTTTTTTTTTGTATTTTGAAAACCATTATACTATATTGCGATTCCTATGCATTATATTTACTTTTGGTAAATTTAACTTTAAAGGGGGTGTCTCCCTAAAAAACGACTTAATATAATAAGCTACTTAAATCAAGAAAAAAATCTAAGATCTCTCGTGAAAACCGCAGTCCTATATTCAAAATAGTCTCCGAGAAAATTCCTTGTGAAAATAAATTATGCAGGAACCTATGACGTCACAACCGCCGAAATCGCAGTCTTCTGTTCGTTCAGTCGTCAGTGAAACGTACCCGATATTTTGAGTGGTTGCAATTCGCTCCAGTGAAATAATAATTGTCTTTTGTTTTGGAAAATTCTTACACGTGTTAATACTGTGCCTGATAATCCGGTGTGACGTCACAAACACCTAGTTGTAACTTTGAACCGCCCTAACTTGAAAACGGACCATCGTAGCAAGATGCGGTTTAAATATTTATTCTTATATTTTTTTGCAATAAAACTTAAATTTTTGGGTCACACCGCCTTTTCGTCACTGTTGGTGTTGTCTTAGGTAGTTAGTTGCTGAATTTAGTTAACATCGTTTTGCCAGTGTATTGCATACACTCTGCTAAGAGGATTATTGTCTCTAAATTTTTTTTATATGTACCTTTCGTTGCAAGTAGGTACCTATTTATTAGAGATACAGTATGCAGTTTCAAAAAGAAAAAAAACATTTTTACAAAATGATGATTTTCGTTAAATTTCCGTTCAGGCTCTAGAGTTTGAAAAAAAACGACTTTTTAAATCGAGTCTTTGAGGACCCCAGCTCCCTTGTTATGCATTTCCAGACCCGCCATGCCATCATGTTCACTGGAACTTTTGTTGCTGGTGACAAGCCCAAAAAACAATGAGTATGCCTACCTGATAATTATTTTATTATCTAATACATATTATTCCTAATTAATCCACGGCCAACCGATAAGAGATCAAGTTTGAAACAAAAAAACAAACGTGCCTCGGCGTTATTTTGCAACCGTTTGCATTTAGCTCGTATATTATCGTTAAGTAAACCTTATCAGTGTACAGTAAACAATTTTTAATAAGTGGTGACTTGGCAGCACACCGGTATTGTTCATTCATAAATATTGTTTTGAATAAAGACCCACGTTAGGTTTAAATTAATTATGGCTGATTTGTTGCAAGGGTTAAAAGACGCTGTGGCAAATGAAAGAGGAAGTGGTTCGGATGAAGATCCAGCTGCTGCAATTGGCAAACTTCTTAAGGCTCTCAATGATATGCCAGGTTTGACTGAAGAAGACAAGGCCGAGTTAGTGAAAGGTTTATCCCAAGGTGGCTTGGGGGGTTTAGGCGGTCTTGGAGGAAAACCCCCTATTGGAGCAGCTATTAGTAACCCTTGGTTGGAGTTTGCGACACTTTTTGGACTGATCAGTTTCATTATTCTTTTATTAGGTAAGTGGTAGGGCACTAATTTTATAGAAATATGTCCATATGCAACCGTTGATTCAACCCATTCTGTGCTTATTCTTGACGTTCTGGTGGATGTAAATTTTATTTTATTTTAGGATTTATCGGATATAAATTGTACAATAATATGGTGCAAAGGGAAAGGACGAAGGAAATGAAAAAAATGAGAAAGACACAGAAGAAGAGGAAAATGTATTAGATTTGGTTATTATATTTTAAAGTATTTCTCTTTTTTTAAATTTATTATAAATGTTTACAATGTAGTTTTTGTTTTATTGTGCTTAAAGGGGTTGCTGCAGTCACAGCCACATTTTCAGATATTTTAGACTTTGATTTTAGGCTATTAGATACTTTACATTGTACAAAAATCAAAGTTTTAACTATAATTTTTTTAAATTTTCTCATTTGTTTTCATGTCAGTGACAATTTCTTATGATATTGTTTTTTTTTTTCTTTACGCAAAATGTCACTTTCAGCCTTTTATAATATGTTAGTGACAAAACAAAAAGACATCATCCATTTCTATACAATAGACCTAAATAAATAGATTTATGAGGATAACAAAAAAAAAAAAAACACAAAGTCACAGTCTCGCAAGTTTTTATTGGACGAGACCGTGACTTATGTGTTTTTGTTATCCTCAAAAATTTATGTTGGGGATTTTTGTGTCAGAATTTGCTGTATAGCATTTTTTGGTTAGCTTTGTCACAGGGCCATAAGTATTAATTACTGAATTTTTTTTATTCCTGAAACACAAAGTACAACAAATGTATTAGAAGAAATAATAATTACTGTATTATCATTATGTATTTTATAATTTTTGTAGTTTTGGCTTTTGCATGAGGCAGTTTTCTTTTAGTAGAGTGCTACGATTAAGAAAGTGATTTCGCTACCGCTGCCTAGATGTCGCCACCAATCGGCATATATAACAGTGGCTAGATAGGTTATTTAGTCACTGTAGTTACATGTTTACAGCAGAGTTTTATGTTGTGACGTCATAGTATGTCAGCCATGATCGCTAAAATGTAGTATCCCAAGTAAATACAACATACTACTGGGTTAAAACTCTCGCTAAAATACGCCTAAAAAATGTGGTGCAAAAAGCCCAAGGATAATACACATTACACACTACTAAGGATTGCTTATCGGCCTCGTTTTTGGTAATCGCCGCCATATTGGTGTGTCACCATTTCCGACGTCATAACTAAGTCGTCAGCGCACTAGCGGTCGTAGTTTAGAATTAAAATTTATGATGAAAAGTATTATTTAATTTTGATTAACATAATAGGCAAAGAGGAAGATGAAGACGAGATCTAAAAAGTAATTGTTTTAGAATGTTAATTAATATAAGCCGCTTTCCAGCTGTGTGATTCAAGCACGATGCAGCATAGTGTTCTGTTTTTGAAACGCAAAAGTTAGCAGCTCTCGTAGCGCAGTACGGCTGGAACACGAACACGCGCTTGAAGCATTTGCGCGCGCAGAAGCTCGAATGCGTGCTCAAAAGCGTCAGCTGGAAAGCGGCTATAGTAAAACAAGTATGCATAAAGCAAAAGCCAAAAGCCCGCGGAATCATAACCTGTGGTGCAAATAGCCTACGTCAAGGCGAAAAAGGACATGCTGCCTACGTCACAATTGGTGATTTGGCGTGTTGGGCCGGGGCTTCAGATTTGTTCCACTTATATGAGAATAGGCTATCCCGTAGTAGTCGTGTGTTTTATCCTTGATTTGCACCGACCATAAAAGAGGTTGAACGATAATCAACGCTTCAAGTGACATTTTTAGGATGGATTTTCATGCATCCGTTTGTCCGAGGAAAGATGTCCGAAAAACATTCTATTCTGACATAATCGTATAAAAATATGTCAAAATAGAAGATTTTTCGGACATATTTCGTCGGAAAACGGATGCATGAAAATCCGGCCTAACATGTAAAAATGTTACTTTAAGCGTTGATTATCGTTAAACCTACCACAAGGCCGTTTTACAGCTTGCAATTCTATCTGCAATATGCAAGAAACTTGAACGAGGGCATGCGCAGAAGCGAGTCAGCTGATTGATTTCTGCAAGATTCTTGAAACTTGAATGGCATTGCATGCAATCGGTTTAGTGCCATTTTTCTTGAAGGTTTTCGTGCAAGCTGGGGAATTTTTAGCAATTATGATGTTAAAGTTGCTGCTGTTGCTTTCTTCTTTTTATATCGACTTATAATCACTTTTTTTATTTTTGGAAAATGCAAACATCAACAACACAACATTAAAAACAAAAAAGTATGGTTAAGGTTGGAGAAAGAAATAAGTCAAATTGAAAGGTGTAAAACGACGTGCAAGAAATCTTGAATGCAATTTTTTTTCATGCAAAATATTGCATTCAAGTTTTCTTGCAAGCTGTAAAACGGCCTTTAAAACGGTCGGTGCAAACCATCCTTGGGTGCAAACGGCCATAAATGATTTTAAAAACAAACAAGTATCAAAAAATATTATTCATGCGCTCTGAGCCTAGTTCCAAACTTTATCTTCATAATAGTTGTATTCTTTTCACACCTGGGAGGAGCTCTGGCTCGAGTGTTTCAAACTCTTGAAAGGAATAACTAATTACTGTATTAATTCCTTTTACCCGTTGAGTTACTCGGTGCTGCTCAATGTCAAAAGCTTGAAAGTTCCTTTTAAAAGTGCGTTTTGCAAGGGGTGCAAGAAGCCCTCTTAGGTAATTGTTCATATTGAAGAATAGCTGTATTCCTTTCAAGAGTTGAGTTAAGAACACTAGAGCTACTCGCTCCGGTGTTAGTCGACCCCGATTTGAAAGGAACAGATGCGATGGCTTTCATGCATTTAAATGTTTTGATTCGGGCTTGAGCACTCCAGGTGCAGCAAACACTCTTTGAAAGGAATAAGTGCGTAAAGCCCGAGCTGTTCCGGAGCTCCTCCTAGGTGTGAAAGGAATACAACTGATAATGATAATATCTGAATTGTGTGTTTTGGAGTGACTCCGAGGAGCTCTAGAGCGACACGTTCGGTGTAACTCGATGTATAAAAGGAATACAATAATTGGCGAACTCCATTTGTCAATTAGTACGCACTGAGTGTATCCGCATAATTTTCTAAAAGCATGTAAATTAATTCAATGTTTAAAATATACATTTGTGTTGCACTGATTCTACAAATGGAAATCGCTATGAGTAGTTACATCGGTGGAATGCATCGATCCTGAAACAAAATTAAAATAGCAACAGCGGCGATTTTTTCTTCCTATCTTTAATCTTTGTTGTTTGTTGGTTAGTTTTAGGTTTGTGGAAAGCTATTTTTATTATTTTAAAATGTTGATAGAAAGGTAGAAAAATGTCTCAAATAATGCTTATAATAGCTCTGGCCCACATGGTGTACTGTCCATTTACCAAAGTCGAGGAGAGTTTCAATTTGCAGGCTGTGCATGATATTTTATACCATAGATTTAATATTTCTGAGGTAAAAATAGATTTTAAACATCTTAAAATAATGTTATACCATATATTAGCTGGAAATTTCGGGAATACGGTATGTAATTGTTAAACTCGATTGCTTTTTAACTCAATATTTAATTCAATATTTGATGTCATATTATTTTCTGTTTCTTGTATCGTTTTATATCAAATTTATATATTATTTTACATTCTAGAAAATTTACTTACAAAATATTCTACCATCATTGATTCAATCTTGTTAAAATTCCTAACAGCTATGTATAACTCTGAGCATTCACTCCTGAAGAAGTCATAATAAAGTAGACGAAATATTAAGAAACAAAACTCGGTTAAAAAGCAATTGAGTTTTAACAATTACTTTTTCCATATATATTTATATACATATCTAGTTTATATCTATATCTACATCATTTTGTTCCAGTACGATCATCTAGAATACCCAGGAGTAGTTCCCAGGACATTTCTAGGGCCCCTTTTTATATCATTTATAGCTTCTCCATTGATACTTGTTTTAGACTTATTAAATTTAAGCAAATTTTGGGCTCAATACATTGCCAGGGCTGTTTTAACTTTGAGTGTAATTGTACCATTCAAAAAACTAAGTCAAACATTGGAGCAACAATTTGGAGTCAGGTGGCTGCAATGGTTTATTGCTATTACAGTTACCCAGAGCCATTTTATGTTTTATATGAGCCGGACTCTGCCAAACATTATGGCTTTACCTTTGGGTAAGGATTTCATTTAAATAAACAAATTAGGTTTAATGTGACTTTTTTAGTATTATTAGCTATAGATGGTTGGCTTAGAAACCATAATAAATGGTTTATTTTGTCCTCTGGGGCAGCTATAATAATATTTAGAAGCGAGTTAGCATTATTTTTAGGGATTTTATTGATCCATGATTTATTCTACCAGAGAATTACTATAAAGCAGTAGGTTTGTATTTAATATTTGGAAACTAATTTCTAACGTACCTATTTTTTTAGGCTGCTACAAATAGCTATCCCAGGTGGTATAGGGTTCTTACTATTATCAGTAGTAGTGGACTCAATTTTCTGGAACAGGCCTCTATGGCCTGAAGGTGAAGTGTTTTGGTACAATTTTGTTTTGGATAAAAGCTCTAACTGGGGTGTATCCTTTTTTAGTACCTACCTATCTATATCTTTTTTGCATAGTGTGTTCAATGTATGATTTCCAATACACAAAATAACACTTTAGTTAAACTGAATACCAAGTTTTCAGCTCGGTTTTCAGTCAAGGTTTAAGGGTAAAGTTTATTCAAACTCCTCCGCTCTCTTATAAGAAAAACACATTTTTAGATTAGGGGCCCGTTTATTCACCTTCTGATAAACTGTCAGGTATGCAATCTGACAGATAAAAATGCAATCTGTAATCCCATTGGTTAGCTAGTTATTTGCCAACCAATAGAATTATAGATCGGTTAATTTATCTTGCAGATAGTTACCAGCAAGTTTATCTGAATATGAATAAACCGAACCTTAAAGTAGCTAATTTTGTCCAGGCATCCAAGGAAAATAAACAGTTTGTAATTTTTTTTCTTGAAAACTGAAAAAAAAATCCAAGAAAAGTATTTTTATTTTTATTTTTTGCAAACAAATATTACATTTATAAAAATGCAGTGGCACACTATGACTTTTTTAATAAATACTAAGTTGGTTAAGACTACGAAAGCGCTGAACTGATATCTCATTTTCTTTTTTTGGACCATTAGGTATAATTGTCAGTTGTCACAATGATACATAATTGTCAGCTCCAAGTGACAATTATCATGGTTAATTATCAGTTATAAGTAACAATCATATCTAATTATTGTCAGTTCTAAAGTGAAAATTATACCTAAGTGTCAGTTTCAACTGACAAGAGAATTAAAAAAAGAAAATGAGATCTCCGTTCAGCACTTTTGTACAAGACAAATTTTCATTTTCACAAATCAAAATAGTAATATTCTTTCTTTCTGAACGAAATGAACAAGTGAAACTGAATTAAATGAATCTGAACAGAGCAATGACTTCAGTTTCACTTTAGCTTTGTTCAGTTGTTACAAAAGAAGACGTTTGTTTACATTATTTGTAAATAAACGAAGTTATCGGCCATCCGAGGTTGTGCTTGAGGGGTAAGGGGACAGCAAACATCCGTTGACTTTATTCAGTTTAGAAGGTGGAGTAGGGGAACTGACCGGAGACGAAAGAAGAAGCCCACAAGTGAACGCAATCAGATAAGGTGAAAGCAAACAGTTTGTTCAGAACAAAAAAATACACCTAATATGTACTAAGTTTAAATTACATAAAGTCTGGATAAAAATTAAAATTAAGAAATAAAAAATTGGAAATCAGTTAAAATAACATTGAAATAATAAAAAGACAAGTAACATGGTACATAACATCCTGTCTAACTTATGTTATTCCTGTTTCTCTTGCTGTCTTCCGGCTTCTTCTTGTCTCTAGTCGTCTAAATTTTTTCATAAAGTCTGCCAACATTTGATTAACTTGCTCCATTTCGGCTGTTTGCTGCCATGTATTTACCATAGAATATTCTGCATCTTTCTTCAAACTTGATTTTCAATCTAAAGATCTGTGACGAAGTCAAATTTCCAACTAGCACACGATGGAATGTTACTATTCTTGTATAAATTAAGGTTTCCAAATAGAATTTCATAGGTACTAGTTTATAGAATTTCCCAAAAACTCCGCATGTGAGCTTGTTTTTCAGTGTCAAATCTGGTAATGAAGTCACTCTTTCAGTTCAATAAAAGTTCACTGATTAGGTCAAATTGATACTCCAATAATTGTCTTGCTTATAATTCCACTTATTAGCTCAGAGTAGTCCAGTAGTTATCTTGCCAATTATTTCACTATTCAGCTAAAACTAATGTAACATTTATTATCTTGCTTAATTATTGTACTAATTAGCTCAAATTAATGCGCCAATTGTCTTTCTGATGATCACACATCTGACACCAAATTGTCACGGGACAAACAGTAAAAACTTTTACTAAACTAATTGACTTAATATAAAATTCACTTATCACCTATTGAAACATATCTACGCGACAAATAATGAATTAAAACTACAACAACACTCTTATTTAACTGACTTCAACAAAGCTCTTATTTAGACTTACTTATATCTACTACTACGCTCTATTTATAATCGATAAGATCCAGCTCCAGATCTTTCTAGAAAAATTCCGTTGCCTTGTGTACTTTGTCACACTTTTCTTATTAAAATTCTATTATACTGTTACACAGTTATGAGTCGAGAGCCTTGCCAAATTCAATGTTGTTTAGGATAAGTGATTAGTGAATTTTTTATAAAGCCTTTTTGTTAAATATTTTATGTAGGTATACTACTTTATTTACGACCACACTATCAATTTATAATTAGTTATTTTTTTCAAAATCTTTAAAAAAAATTAGAAACGTCAAACTAATTGAATTTTCTGAACAAACCCAGGTGGAAAAGGCAAATAATTATGGTTTCTCTTCCATAACTAAGTGAATAAATGATTATGTGCTTCGTGTTTGTCTATAGTTTAAAAATTTCCCAAAAAATCGAAAAAATGTCTGATAGCGGAAAACTCTTTCACTCATTTTTGAAATCGGAATAATTGGATAAAGCAACAAAAAATACGATTTTCTGCACCGTCTTACTTTTGAAAAACTTAAAGAGTCCTTTTTGAGAAATTATATTAAAAAAACTCTCTAATCAAAAACACCTACTTTATTTTCAATACCTGTAGCCATGCCATCAGAGCTCGAACCATCAATCGTTTGAATTGAATTTATGGCGCCAATTTCATTGCTTGTCACCTGGCATCGTGGCATTTTGATTGGATTGCCCTATTACATCTTTGATTTAATTATTTTAAACAATCAAAATGATAATATTTTCTTTAATGGGGGACTTAGGTTAAACATTTGCCTGAGAATCTCCTCAAAAGTCAACAACCATCCACGCATCCAAATTTTCCATTGTAAACTTGATAGATTTTTTATGTATTTAAGCGTTGAAAAGTATTTTTCGCGCCCTACTTGTGTGCACGCTAAAGTAAGGCCTTAAAGAGATGTCTGTAAGCACAGATGTATAATCTGTATTTATACAAAATATTAAAACTAACCAAACATTGTTTGCAATCGTCTTTAGAAAGTTCTAATTCATTCCCTGTATCCAACCCTGTGTCATTTTCGAGTCAGGCCATTTTCTTCTAAAATTCATTGATTCCTCCCGCAAAACAGCCCCGTCATCATATCCCAGTAATTTACCTGATTTTTTCATTGCGTCATAAGTTGTATTCAATATTCTTTGTGCTTTCATAATATTGAGGCCGTCCGCTTGAAGGTCCTACTGTTCTAAAGATTTTTAAATATAACTGGGCAGTTAGAATTGTTTCAAATTTAGTTAACGATTGAATTAACTTTGATGCAGCGGTTCTTGGGCAAGCGCATCTGTAATCATAATGTTAGAGACGAAGACGGATCATTATGAAACCCAAATATTTTATTTCGGCAAACGTCCTTTGACCATCATCTTGTTGTACTAACAGGGTTTATCGCGACTATTTCCGTCATTCCTCTCCAGACATCCATTCTTTTGCATGATACACGGAAGAATACTGCACGTGAATCTGAGAGACCAAAGAGGTCAACAGTTGCTGTAGAAACTGAAGATGTTTCCACTATAACTAGATTAAAATCGTGTCGGCCCACTGGGGATTTCCGTATTTTAAGAGCCATCAGTTAAAAATAGTTTAATAAATATTTTTCCAAGTTCAACTGCTTCCCGAATTATATGACTGCTTGTTGCTGACGCTAAAGAAAGTTGGACTTCCAGCAAATTGAAATTAGTAAAAACTTTTAAAAATCTACCATGAGCTGAAAAAGGTCGGTAAATTTGGCCACCATTTCAATCGACCGTGTACTATTAAAAGAAGAGAGGAAGGGGAATTTATTTTATATAAGTATGTACAGGGTGTCTGGTTTCAATTTGACACCCCACCTGTAGCCTTTACCTCTACAGGTACATGAAAGGTGTTAATACAAAAGTGCAGTTTTAGCTAAATTTTCAGAATTCATTGTCAGAAACAAAAATTTATTGTCAGAATTTTGAAATCTTGGGCACTTTCAAATTTGGCAAATGGAATGCCCTATATTTGATTCTATATTCTAGACGAGCACAATTTTCCAATTCCAAAAATAAACTATATATTTTTGGAATCGGAAAATTGTGCTCTTTATTTGGTTGAGCCGTCTGCAACATATTTGGCTCTAAAAATTATAGAAATATGTACTATCAGAGAAACCAAGTGCTTGAAATTTTGCCTGCAGCTGTCACCTTGACAGATAGAATAATTCACAAAATCTCTCAAAAGTCAGTACGATAATATTTACAGTTTTCACAGCTTGGAGACGGCTCAACCAAATATAGAGAAAAAGAAAAAAAGAGTATATTTTTGGAATCGAAAAATTATGCTCTTCAAGAATATAATGACGCAAAATTCCAAATTTCTGACAATAAATTTCTGTTTCTGACGATCAATTCTAAAAATTTAGCTAAAACTGCACAACTTTTGTATTTACACTATTCTTCTACCTGTAAAGCTAAATGCTACAGGAGGGTGTCAAACTATAACCAAACATGGACTACTTCTTCAATTTATAACCAAACACCCTGTACATATTTTTTTTATGTACGTATGCACTACATTCTTTTATGGCCAAGAATTGACTTTTGATTTTATTATACAATATTATCGAATGTAATACCACAAGAGGTTTCAGGATTACCGGATAATACTTTTACCTGTCACGAAACGCGTTACGCAGCAACACCACGACTCCGAAGGAGGAGTGGTGTTGCTGGTAACGCGTTGAGTGTCAGGTAAAAGTATTAGGTAATCCTGAAACATCGAGTGGTATTCGAAAGGGTATACAACGAAGTAAACTTCAATACTTTATCAATCCTTATAATCATTAATGACAAATTGACAATATTGCCACCAAGCGCGATAATCCCAAAAGGCTTATCACTTGTTAAGCCTCTCGTGTCATATGGGAATAATGTACAGTGAGTTGTATAACCTGTTTAAACCTCGCTGTGACTTATGGCACAGCATCAAGGTACAATAATTTCTGAGAAATTCTTAACATGAAACAGACCTCACCATTTTTATGGTATTTCTACTCTGCTTTGCCTAGAGGATTAGCTGCCTCAACTTTCTTGGTACCCATTGGCTGTGTTTTGGACCCAAGAGCCCGCAAACTAGTAGCTTTAGGTCTCTGTTTTGTTTTTTTGTATTCATTTCTACCTCATAAAGAGCTACGGTTCATTATTTATGTATTTCCATTTTTGAATGTAGCCGCTGCAACTGCTTGCCATAGAATGTAAGTACATGCAGCTGTATATTAACATAATGACTAATTATTCTTATTCCAGTTGGGAAAACCGTCATAAGTCCCCAATTTATCACTTGTTATCATTAGGGGCTGCTGGGCATCTGGCAATAAATGCAGTATTCACATTATTCTTGCTAAGTATTTCGGGTACTAATTATCCTGGAGGTACTGCTATATCTCATTTACATCGTTTAGCTAGAAATGAGCCCTTTGTGCATGTTCATTTGGCAAATTTGGCTTGTCAAACTGGAGTTTCCCGGTTCACTCAAGTGAATTCTTCTTGGATGTAAGTGAATACATACCTAATCATTATTGGCTAATGAAAATTGTTTTTTTTTTTGCAGATATGATAAAAGTGAGAATTTGATGACAACCAATAAAGATATTTTTAAATTTACTCACTTAGTTGAAGAAGGAAAAAGTAAATTTGCTCAAAATTTGAAAAATTTAGCCCCTACTCATGATATTATCGACGTTATAGAATCTTTTAGTCAAATTTCTTTTAATTATTTTCAATTGCCTCCTGTTAAGATTAAAACTAAACCTGTCTTATATATTTTGAGACGTAAAAATCACTATGAAAATTTTCTGAGCAGTCAGGAATTTGATTTGTCTTCTGGTGATGTTGAGAAAATCAATATTAAGGTAGAAAATATCGGAAGCGAGGAAGAAGAATCTTTAAATGGCAAAATTGAAGAAACTTCTATAAAAAATGTTAAAAAATTAATTCAGAATGATGATTTTGTCGAACGACAATCGGAGACAGCTGCAATGAATAAAAAATTTAAAAAAAATATACTCGAACAGCCAGAAAGGTCTAAAGTTATGAAAAATGAAGAAAAAAGGCTTTTGTCAGCAGAAGATGCAGAAACTTCAAATATTAAAAATGAACAAGACATTTTGGTTAATGAAGAAATAAATGTTCCTGAAATAGTGAAAAAACAAAAGAAAATAAAGCAACAAGAGAAAGTCATAGAGATATTCGATGAGAAGGATTTAAAAATACCAGCATTAAAGGGGAATTTGGAAAAGCCAGTTTTTAGAACAGACAAGAGGAAAACATTGAAACGTCCCTATAAAGAAGTTTCTCATGTAGGAGAAAGTTTTGATCCGGAAAACCTAAAAGTTGAGTATGTAGAAAATGGAATATCTAGAGAAGATTCCAGGAGATCCAAAAAACTGGAAGCGAGATCTATAAAACATCCAGTAGAAGCCAAACAGTTTGACGGAATAGAACAGAGTCGAGAAAATAAAATACTTGGAGAAGAACAAGAAAAAAACTACCAAAAACCCAATAAATCTGGAACAATACCTATAAAATTTGTACATGAAAGAAACGATGACAATTTAGAAAATGAAGATTTAAGACAAATGGAAAATGAGAAGTTGAAAAAAGAAAAAGAATTGGAAAATGAAATATTGGAAGGACAACAAAAGGCAAATTTCCCAAAACACAGGCAACCTGAAACGAAATCTGTGTATATTTCAAGTAAAAGAAGCAGTGAAGACTTAGGGCAATTGGAAGAAACAGAAATTAGATTGGAAAATGAAATATCTATGGAATCAGAAGAACATATCCAGATTGCAGAACGAAATGGAACGGAAACCACCAAATTTCTTCATGAAAGAAGCAATGAAGATTTAGGACCGGTGGAAGACACAGAAAATAATTCCATAAACAAAATATCTGGAGACGGGAATTCCCAGAAATCGAAAAAACCTGAAAAAAAATCTACAAAGTTTGTACATAAAAAAAATCATGACATTCTGGAAGAAAAAGGGTTCACACAAGCTGAAGCTAAAATGGTGGAAGGAATAGAAAATGAAATATCTAAAGAACAGAATGAGGGAAATATCAAGAAACATAAAACGCCCAATAAGTTTTTTTTCAAAGGCGGCTCTAATATGTACCAAAATGGACATAAAGAGACGGATAAATCAATGGCAGATCCTTCTGGAACAGCAACAAAAAAATATGTTCCAGGAGAATCGTTCCATGTGAAACAAAATATCAAAAAAATCATCCAAAAATACAAAAGAAAAAACCTTGATCAATTAACAGTTAAAAAACTATCAGTTGACGAAGAAATATCAAAAATTGAACATCAAATAACGGAAATAATTGAAAATAACCCGAACATAATTAACAAAGACTACATAAGAGCGAAATTAAGTGAAACAATTAAACATGAACTAATTAATGCTATGGTTGTTGATGACCCAAATCATTTACAAACAGTAACGACAAAATCGGGAATAGAAACCATGGGAAAAAATAGTAAAAAAGATGAATCCAAATTGGAGTTAGTAAAAAAAGTGAAAATGGCCACAGAAAGATTAGATAATATTATTAACATTATTGACGATATTGTGGATACGATCGAAATAATGGATGAAGAATAAAAGTTTGGGTGTGTTGTGTTTGTATTTTTATGTTTTGAGACTGTTAATAAATTGTTTTTTTTTTTCGTTTAAATTTTATGTTATTCCTTATTTTGAAAATTGAAAAATGTAAGTACCAAAAACAAATCCCTTAGTTTTTGGTAAATTCATAATATGTACGGGTCTGTTCCTTAAAATTATTGCGGCTTCTACAGCTTAAACAAATTAAAAAAAAATAGTTGAATACAAAAGTTGTGTAGGGTTTCATCTCTATTATATTTTGCACATGTCAAAACGGGCAAATGACAGGTGCCAAATATCATAATGAATAATGATAAACATGCATTTTTTCGACAAAACAACATGTACCTATATTTTCGGCCAGAATGGAAGATTTTTTTCTTTTGATTCCAAATATACCTACCATATTTGATTCAGCTGTTTTTTCGCTATTTAAGTTTAAAGATGCATTTACATTACCCTAAATTAGGTCTGTTCCTGGTTCCCTATATTAATAGCGAGGCTTCTGCGACTCAGGGTAAAAACATGTTGGAGCAGTTCAATTCGCCAAACATCTTGCCGCGCTGCTGACACTGCATATCGCCGCGCAATGATACTTGCCAGGCGAAAATATATCGGAGCATTTCAAGTTGCCATTTTAAAAGATATTTATTATCGAGTCGTTACTGAAAATTGAAAATATCAAGTTCTGCTATTGATTGTGTGAGCAATGCTGTGAAATGGTGATTTATTTGGTGACGCTGATCTCATATTTCTTGTTTTTGGAAAATTGCACCAATGAATTGCTCTTTATTAATATTGGAAAAACATTCCCTCGCTTACGCGAACGTAGAAGTCAATCTGCAAGAAATAGAAAAGAACAGCAGTCTTTTCCAGAAAGCGGTTAATTCAAAGAAGTGTGATCTTGAGATGGCCAATGAGAGAACGAGTAGTAGGCAGCTGCATCCTTAAAAACAAAATATTTTTTTTTTACGAATTTCCGGCGAGATGTATAGCGAGATGCGCCGCGAGGTGCATAGCTGTAAGAGGCCAACAACAAGCCGTTAAAAATTGAGAAAAAGGGTTGATTTTCCGAGACGAGAACTCACTTATTTTCTAATATTTTTTGACCGGATTAGAAAATAATAAAAGATAAAAGTCTAAAGATTCATGCTGTTGTTTTAGTTTTTCGAAAAAAAAAAAAAAAAATGCAAATTGAAAATACCACGACCTAAATACTCGAAAAAAAGCATCGTTTTTACCGCTCGGTACATCCAACCCCATAGCTCTTTAAAAAAAAATAAAACAAGAGCATTATTCTAAATTTTATTATCTTTTCAAATCTTCTTGATTCACTAAAAAATATTGAGTAGTTTTTGAGATCTCATCTCGAAATATAAGCCCTGCAAACACGGAAATTCGAAAATTTTGGCTGCAGCGAGGTGCTGCCTCTGGCGGATTTAATTTCGCACCGAGGTAAGTAAAAATTACACAACGCGAGAGGACTGCGGGGCCAGTTATTAGTTTGTGTATATTGTAGTGAATATAATTCATAATGAACTCAAAACGAACAAAGATTACTTTACTAGAATTCAAGAAACGAAAGAGGATATCATATTGTCGCGGCTTTGGGTTGCCTGCTGACAAAAATCTTGGGTTCGTTGTTCGTTTCGCTTATTCCAAAAATCAAAGTCCAATTAACACAGCAATAATTTATTCCACTTAACAAAACACTCTGACACTAATTACTTTATTAACAAACTCAACAATTAAACTCTACAATCACTATTTAAATCGTATCACACTCGAACTGAAAATTTAACTTACAAACCAATGCCGGCCTTCTTATATATCCCTAAATCTATTCCTGTGAAATCTAGAATACACACGATAATCTAATTTTCCAGATTAAAGTAGAATAATTCGCTAGATTCTAGTATTTCCGCCATCGATTCTTGACAGTCTGGCGGACGATATCGTGACACTGCCCTCCTCTTAAGGTTGATCGTCCCGATCAACTTCACGCCCATGATATTTCGCCAACCTGTCCAGATGTACAACTTTCATCTTACTCCTGGTGTTGCGCTGGACTCGATAAACCAAATCATTGATCCTCTTGATTACTCTATAGGGTCCTTCCCATGCTGAAGACAATTTCGGTGATACTCCTTTCTTCCTTACTGGGTTATACAACCACACTAAATCACCTTCTTGAAATCCGACCGAATTGGCTTTCAAGTCGTATCTGGTCTTCATTCGGTCACTGGCTAGTTGAATATGCTCCCGAGCAAAATCATGGATACCCAGAAGTCGTGCCCTTACTTCGTCGGCATAATCTCGGATTTCTCTTCGTTCTTCTTCGGGTATCCCAAACATCAAATCGCAAGGTAACCTGAGTTCTCTTCCAAAGACAATTCTGGCTGGACTTTCACCTGTTGACTCGTGAACAGCTGCTCTATAAGCCATTAAAAACAGAGGCAAGTGTTTGTCTCAATCACGCTGGTTCCTTGCGACCACTTTTGTTAGATGCTCCTCTATGGTCTTATTAAATCGTTCTACCATGCCATCAGACTGTGGATGTAAAGGTGTTGTCCTGGTCTTACGGATTCCCATGATCTCACAAATTTTCTTAAAGATGGCAGATTCGAAGTTTCGTCCTTGGTCTGAATGTAACTCTAGTGGCACACCATGACGACTAAAAACTTCGTCCACTAGCACCTGGGCAACAGTGATGGCTTCTTGATTGGGAATAGCAAAAACTTCTGGCCATTTACTGAAGTAATCCATGATAACTAAGATGTATTTGTTACCACGCTCTGACTCTGGGAACGGTCCTGCTACATCTATCGCTATTCTCTCAAATGGAAGACCGACGTTGTACTGTTTCATGGGCCCCCGAGATCTTAGTTTAGGGCCTTTACTGGTAGCACAGATGTCGCATTTTCGGCACCAGCTTTTAACGTCTTCATGGTAGTGAACCCAGTAAAAACGTTCCCGAATTTTGTCCAAAGTCTTGTTAACTCCGAAATGTGCCCCTGAGGTTCCGTCGTGTATTTCTTTTAATACATCTTCCACTCGATCTTTTGGGATAACCAGTTGGCTCTTAGTGGATTTCCCATCGGCACTTTCCCAAACTCTTTTGAGCAAACCATTTTCTACGGTCAGAGAGTTCCACTGGGCCCACAACGCCTTGTAAATCAAGCTTTTGTTTGACACTTCCCCCCATTCTGGCCTACATTCATCATTTTCTTTAAGATGTAGAATTTGCCCGATGTCCTGGTCTGCCTCCTGATCTTCTCTCATTTGCTTGGTAGTCCATTTGTCATCGACGATCAGGCCCGTTCTTCTTACAGCTGGACTAGTGTTTTTCTCATGTATATCGATTCTTTGACAATGTTTGCAATCTTCTTTACATGGCCGTCTAGACAGAGCATCAGCATTTTTATGCAGGTTTCCAGGTCGATGTTTAATTTGGAAATCGTATTGCTGCAATTTCTCAATCCATCTAGCAAGCTATCCTTCAGGAGTTTTCATTTCTAAGTGCCATTTTAGAGCTGCATGATCTGTTCGAATTAGAAACTTGCGTCCGTAGAGATACTTATGAAAGTGGTCGATTGCTTTTACTATGGCAAGCAACTCTCTTCTGGTGACACAATAATTTCGTTCCGGCTTTGATAATGTTCTGCTGTAGTACTCCACGACATGTTCCTGTGAATTTTGGATTTGTGAAAGGACAGCTCCAACACTGGTGTTACTTGCATCTGTGTCCAAAATCAACATGCCTTTGTGATCAGGATAGGACAACACTGGGCTTGTACATAATGCTGCTTTCAATTTTCTAAATGCGGAATTGCATTCTTGGGTCCAATTGAATGTTGATTTTTCTTCTGTTAATCGATGAAGTGGAGCAGCTATATTGGCGAATCCTTCCACAAATCTTCGATAATAAGAACATAATCCTAGAAAACTCCTTAGTTCATATTTGTCGCGTGGCTTTGGCCAGTCCCTGACAGCATCTATTTTTCCTTCCATAACTTGTATGCCCTCTTCAGATACCACGTGACCTAAGAATTCCACTTTCTTTTGAAATAGGAAACACTTATTTGGATTGAGTTTCAAGTTGGCATTCCGGAAGCGGTCAAAAACTTCTTTCAGGTTATTGAGATGTTCTTGGAACGAATTTCCCATAATCATGACATCATCCAAATATACCAGGCAACTTCTCCATGTAAGGCCTCGCAAAACAAGATGCATCAGTCGCTCAAACGTAGCTGGAGCATTACACAATCCGAAAGGCATTACATTAAACTGGTATAGCCCGCTTCCGGTACTGAAGGCAGTTTTCTCTTTGTCATCCGTCATGTATTGCCACTTGCCAGTATCCACTTTTGAGATCCAAGGTGGAAAACAATTTGGAGCCCGATAGAGTTGTTAGTGTATCGTCTATTCTTGGGAGAGGGAAGCTGTCCTTCTTGGTGACGTCATTAAGCTTCCGGTAGTCCACACAAAATCTAAGACTCCCATCTTTCTTCGTAACCAATACTACTGGCGCAGACCATGGACTATTTGACTCTTCAATGATTCCCTCTTGAAGCATTTTATCACTTTGGTTTTCCACTTCCTGTTGCTTAGCCACTGGCATACGTCGTGGTGGTTGTCTAATTGGGTGTGCCAATCCAGTATCAATTTTGTGTTGAATTAAGCTGGTTCGTCCGGTTTGATTGTCCATCACAAATACGTCTGCTTCTTTCAAAATGAAGTCTGTGGCTTCTTGAAGTCTATCTGGATCGAGATGTTTCCATGATTTCGCCAAAGTCTGCATCAAGGTGTGTGTATCCAATTTGGATTTCACAAAACGTCGCTTATCTGGTAGGTCACAGTTCGATATTTGCTTCACTGGTTCGAGAGCTCCAATAATGTCTCCTTCTTTTATTCTTACTGTTTCGGAAGAAACATTGGCAATTCTTATCATAATGTCTCCATTTGTTCTTACTAGAGTCTTTCCAACAAGAAATCTTTCTGGTTTTTCTCCAATGAAATTACGTGTTAGCCCAACGCAGCACCCAGGGTTTGTTTCTAATCTTCCGCAAATGATCTTCTCAGTACTTCCAGGAATCCTCACTGGGGTTGTGGCCAAGATCTTAACAGCATCGGATTCTTCTTGTGTC